AGACAGTTTTCTCAGAAGATTGAATGTGCAATGCACCACGGTGCATAGTGCATTCGTAAAATACTTTTGAGGTTTTGTATTACTGTTGTACTGGGGTGGGTTTCGAAACCGCGTCGATTTTTGGGATTACTTATCCTTGTCGATTTCACCTTTGTATACTTTTATTTATTGTGTAAACTAAGGTACTTTGTCTCTCTGGAACACAACAGGGGGAGTTTTTAATGAAACTTGGTTACAAGGATTTATTTGGTTTTAAAAAACCGCCCGCGAATTTCTAGATGTGATTAGACATATGTACAGGGTGGAGGCAGATTATAAAGGTAAAAAGAAGTCGGTAAACGTCTAGATGATGGCCCCCACTCCCGAAGGGTGGGTGGGATCGAAAGAGGAGGTCTCCCCCACCACTGTACCATAAAAAGTTCGTGGTGGTCTCAGCCCCAAAAAAAGTTATGGGGGTTAGATGGGGGTGAGGGTAGGGGGGATCGGAAGAGGGTGGTCACTTGAACAAAACCCGATAACCTAACCTAACCTAACCTACCTTATTAATAAAGATATTTAAATAATGTTTTATATAACTTTCTCAATATTTTTATGTATTTTTCATTAGTTTTACCTTTGAATATTGTTTAAGAATGACTATATAAATATTTACATGCCTAGAAATGTATAAAAATTGGCATATTTATTAACTTTGAACCCCCATAACTTTTTATGGGGGGTAAGACCGCCATGAACTTTTTATGGTACAGTGGTAGGGGAGACCTCCTCTTTCGAACTCCCCCATCCCCACCCCCGAAGGAGGTCCCCACCATCGCATCATCCAGACCTTTACCAATGTTTTAATTTTAATTTTTACTCTTGGAAGTACGCATATTCGAAATTTCTAAATCAAAGGAAAACATGGTTAGTAAATCGACGCTTTGCGTCTCGGCGCGTTTCTGCAACCACGGCGTCATCGACTGCAAGTCTTTTGGTACTTATTAAAACCTAAAGTGTGCGGTTGGTTATATTTTGGTTCCACATAAACACTAGGTAACCTTGTCGACCGCCTACAGGCGCTGTTTAACTCCCAAAACGTTTATTTTTTCAAGATACCCGCAGTAAATTTCAAATAGGCACTTAAACGATCACAAACATGTAAACTAGACGCGGTGTAAGCTGCTCCTAATTGGTTCCGTGCATATTGGAACGAAAATTAACCGGTACGAAATAATTACAGTCAGCGCCAAACGGGAGTGCCATGATATGTTAGCTTGTTAGCTACTCTCAGTTTCAGTACTCAAAAGTAATCTGTAGTATGATTATTATCATTATAAGTATTGTAATCCAAATCAACATTCTTTTAAATTGCAAATTATGAACATTATAGCTCCATCTAGTAGATAGCAGAAGAAATATTTTGGTAAAGGTCTAGATGATGTCTTCGGGGGTGGGGGATCGAGAGAGGAGGTCTCCCCCACCGCTGTACCATAAAAAGTTCGTGGTAGTCTCACCCCCATAAAAAGTTATGGGGGTTCAAAGTTAATANAAGAAATATTGGCTTATCATAGACTCTTAATTAATAAATGAATTAGCAAATAGTTAATTAGTCATAACAAAATCATTTATGTCACAAACATTCACGTACGTGAATGTTTAAAAATTTGACTTTTTATATTTTCGGATTCGTTCTCTGCCACTTACAATTTTATTCGGTTATATTTCTGTTGTGGTCATTTTTGAAAAGTCTACCTAATAAATTTTCTCTACGAATAAATGTAGCATTACACTAAAATGTTTTCAATTTTTTTTGTAGATCTGCTGCCCACATGTGTATCATATCTACAAATCGTCTGATGTTCTCCCTGCCTGTGGTAAGTAATACGTTGCATCACTTTTTAGTAACTATTATGTATAAATTCGATAAAGAAAAACGAAGAGGGGTTCCGTTTTTCATTCGGACGTAGGGAACCCTAACCCGAGAACCAACTTAACATTGTAGTTGAGAAAAAACATGTTCTCCAATAGATTCAAACTGCAAATGTAAAATTGTACACACACGTTTTGTTTAAAGATTTACGACGTTATGTTCGGACCATGGAATTCTTTTTAATTTTAGTGTAATCTATAAGTAAAAAACTCTTTTCCGTATTTTTTTCAAAATTTTAGGTTCAGTAGTTTCGGGCATAAAGGGGGGAATGGTCAATTTTCATCGGTTTTCTTAAAACAATTTTATTTAATTATAATAATATATTTGAGACAACAAGTTCTTTCGTTTTATATGCCTAACGGTATACTTTGCAAAACTTTTTTTTAATTTCATATTGACCCCCCCCCCCAAAATAATCCCCATGTTCAAAATTAATGTATTTACGTCATGCGTCCGTATTTGAGTTACATAAATTCATATGTATACTCAACTTAATTGGTCCAGTAGATCCGGTGCAAATTGACTGTGACAAAAGGGCAGAAAGACATACTACTATGAGAATACTATAAGAATTCCGTTTTTCATTCGGACGTACGGAAACCTGAAAATCAACCAGATATCCAGTAAATGCATTTGAGTTTTGGTAATTCCCTTTTTGAAAATTCATCAATAGCTAGACGTAATATAAATGTCGTCCTGCAAATATAAACATTCGTTTTAGAAAATACTACAAATGGCGCGGTAAACGCCATCTCTAGTACGATGCTACATTTTAGGATTACGTATGCTCCAACAAGGTCCATTTAAATATATGAAAATCCACTTGCTGAAACGAATCCCGGCGTAGCTAAACTTCAACGTGATAGGCACGTTACCATAATCGAATAAAATAATTCGAAGTGTCGAAGTATTCTGTCGAAACTGCCAGACGCGGATCGCGATTTCGATCTTTTTGGATCTCATCAGCGCGTCAGGCAGCTCCGACAGAATATACATATATATAACATATATTTAAATGGATCTTGTTGGAGCATACGTAATCCTAAAATGTAGCATCGTACTACAGATGGCGTTTACCGCGCCATTTGTGGTATTTTCTAAAACGCGCTGTTAAGACAGCAAGTTAAAGTTGGTCTGTGTAGTGTCGGAGCTGTCTGTGACGCGCTGATGAGATCCAAAAAGATCGAAATCGCGATCCACGTCTGGCAGTTTCGACAGAATACAGACCACTTCGAATTATTTTATTAAACATTCGTTGTTGATTTTTCTTTTGTAGTGCGAAAATAAGTCTTACTTTCTTATTTCTCTTCGAACCTAAATGCGCTTTAATTAGCCTTTAATAAAGAAATAAAGATGCTCTATGATCTGACGATTTAATGCATTAAATGATTAAGGATGTAGAACTACTTCAAACATTATTTCAGCGTCCAGTTGGCCCGTCCTGTAATTGATTAGAAAATTGTACGTATCTACGTCGATCATAAAATAAAAACGTAAAGCTGTTTTTGATCTGCAGCCATGTTTTATAAACCAACAACTTCAAAGCTTCGATGTTAACTAAAGGCAAAACACAATTAAGAAGGCTGAATTTTTTCGATGATAGTTATTGCATTTCCAAAATAAATATTTTCATGAGCTCATTGAAGTATAAAAATGTCCTGAACGTTTAGTATTTCTACTGAACATTTAATATTTTTACGACGCTTTTACTATATTTACCCAACATTCCGTAATTAACTGGGCATAATTAGGTAAGCAATTATATTTTAGCGTAGGTTTGTTTCGTTGTCGATTGAAACGTTTAACTAAAAGATCGAATTGTGGATGTTGTTGATATTAAACAATTGCAAATATATGAATAGGTCTAAATGTCTCTATTCGAGTGTACGGTTGGTTGCATATACATACATAGTTATCTTCTAATCACATGTTATCAATCAAATTCGGGTGCACAATTGGTTGCAAAATATACTAAGGAATGAAAACGGAAAAAAGCGATTTTATCTTGTAGCCAATATTGGTGCAACTGAGATAGCAAATGGTAGGCCATTCTGAAATTAGGTGACCATTAAAATCTCTAGTTAAAAAAATGAGAGGGTAACATGGACTATCTACTTTTGATATCCAAGATGTTATCATTTAAACAGAATTTTTAATTAAAAGTCGCCAGTTTTGGTTTATTCGAGGTGAAACTAAGCAGTTGCTATATAATGAGTGGATTTAAGGATGTTTGGGAGGTATGTCAACATGCTACGAGACAAATAACAATTTGGAAGAACGTTCCTCATTCAATTCTAAAACTCCTGTAAAAATTACAAATCGATTCACAGAACCGTTAAAATGTTATTGAAATTTTAAAAAAATGTAATTTTATACGTCATTTTATGGAGATTCGTTAACCGAACAGATTAAATTTATTTTTATTAACAGAAAAAAAGCTACCAGAAATTTCAAACTTTTATAATAAGTAACTTGAACTCTGGAGAATCACTTTAGCGTAAGGTTATTCAAATTCACTAAATGGTTATCGAGGAAAAAATGAAAAATTAGCTGAAAATCTCGTTTTTACTTGATAATATAATGATAATATTTATAATTGTCTGAAATAAATGCAATTTTAAAGTTTTAATTATTATTTAAACATATTAAAAAGTTTTACGCTCATTATTAATAGAGATTGAAACTAAATATTTTTTTGTTTCGAAGTTGAAATCAAGGCATATTCACCGCCAAAAGTCAGTTAAAAATTTTCCATATTATTCGTTATTTCTTATTTTATTCAAAGTTTTTGATCAAATTCCAAATTTTCTCTCAAACCGTACATTTTTTTAGTATAGATAGTATTTATTTCCCTCATGATATGCTGCAAAACCTAATCAATCACGAATTTCTAATTTTATGTACTCTTGTCTCCGATTGTACCTCCCAAACATCCTTACATGAATCCCTAACGATAGCCATGTGTGAACAACAACGATATCAATCGTCCAAGTTTGAAGCGACCCAACTACTATAGTTTGAGCAGAATAAAGGAATAGGTACTTTGTAGTTCAGTATGATACTGTCATACTGTGTATTTCATTTTGCTTACCATCAATGTCTGTCAATGTGGAGTCGCCACTGTCCGTCGGCTCGATGTCCCTTATAGAGATCCGTCTCTGTCCAAGTCCAGATTCGGACTCCGAGCGACAATACAAATAGGTACTGCCCCCGTAAAACGGCATCTTGTCACAAATTACAGTCCCGTCGTTCTAAAATCATTCTGGCATCGAAAATATTCTCACACCGGCCCTGATTCGAGCGGTAAAACAATTGATTTACGTATGTCTTTTCACACACCAAATTGAACAACAGCAGTAGCAGCGACCGTTCTCGTTTCTATTCTTTTTTTTTTCTTTTTTCGAACACAGAATACTCACTAATTTGTCCCCGGCGCACTGAGTGGGATGAGGGTAAACATCCCGCACAAATTAATTAACGATTTGTCGGTCGGTTTGTAGTAGCACTGTGCACTTTTTTGGTTTCCTATTTCGATTCTAGGTACATACCACATGCACAGCTGTCTGTTTTCGTTGAATTATTGATACGATCGAAACGGAACACTGCGATTTAACGTTTAATAGTTTGTTTGTTCTTTGGTATTTTGTTCAGTGGACAAATGGATTCGAATTGAGCTAAAATGTAGAATTAAGTTGCTCATTCTTTTTGACTAAAATACAAATACATCTTCCAAATCAGATAAAACAACCAGATTCTATTTAAAAACCGTTCCCTATTAGGTTATCTGGGAACATAGAGGGTGCAATTCACATGAGGACATCTAGTAGCAAAAACGCAAACTACAATTCGTATCTAAAAGATTTTGTATCAGTTCGTTTAAATTTACTCTCTGCATGCAATGAAAACTATTTGAAAGTAGCCAAGAATTATGAAGAAATATATGTTAGAGTATGTGAATAATTGTTTACTCATTTTAGTTAATAAAAAAAGAGAGAAAATTAGCTGAAAATGACTAAAAATCCCAAAATTGTTACCTCTGCTTTCATAATCATATTTATTTATACTCTTAAATGACTCACACTTCATTCCCAAAATTTCTGTTGTGTAAAAAATTCTATTTGACTCTCAATTCAAGAATTTACATTAAAGTATGTAAAAACGCTCGTAAAATTGTTTAAATTATTTTTCTTCTGGAATCTAAAACGTTTCCTAACTGAAAAAGGTCATGTGTATGTGTGTATTTTGGGTTTATCATTACTTAACATTTTTTCGCGCCTATCTGTACTAAATACACATAAGTTTGAAGCATAATACGAGCACGTATGTCCGATTTTATTTTTAGGATACCGATGGCTGTTCACTCTAATTATTAGGTACTTATGGAAATTTTTTAACATTTATTCCCAAAACAATATTTTAATATTCACGAATGACTTTGGACTTTGTAACCGTGAGACCTTGCAAAAGCTTGTAAACACTATATACATTAAATATATTCAAATTTTTGAAATTTGTTATTACCACAAAAGTAAAATTTTCGTCGTTTTGGTTAAGATTTATCAAATTAAGAATCAATAATAAAATGAAATGAAACTATAATTGATTCTATACTTTGCAAGTCCAGCTTTGAACGGGTCAAACAAGTAGATAAATACAGACTAAAAAGCCATAATAAATAAATAAAATTTGAATGAGACTTTTGAAAAGAAAACCCAGTGTTTGCTAATTTTTTTATTACATGTAACTCAATAAAACTACTTCATGCACCCAAAAAAAATTTTTGGTTTACTAACAGAGTTGTAGCGACGTGTTGGAAGAAAACATTAATTTTCAATGAAAATAAATAATCTGTTAAATATAACGAATTAAGTCATAAAATACAGACTCAAAACACGCTTGCTTTTATTAGATGGGAATATTTATTATTCATTTTTTTGTTTTTACTTTTAGTGTAAGTTTTAGCCGAATTGCCTTTTACAAATAAATTCGAATATAAACATAGAGTGCACATTTTCCGAATAATTAAGAAAACTAAACATTTCGAAGAATACTATTTTTAAAAATAATTGCACTAAGTACGCTACACATAGAGTAAGTGCATACATTACTTTTTATTTTGTTATTTGCCATTAAGAGGTAATATATGAGTGGTTTTGTTCAACAGGATCTTTAATAAAACCTAAACGAAAACAATAGAAAACAGATAAATAATTCTTGTTTTAAAATTTATTTTGCCAGGTACAAAAACCCAACTCAACCTAATGTCTATCGCATGCATCTAATAAGACAGCCATATCATGGAGATATTTTCATTTAATCTTGAATATAAATTGAATTTTTGTAAAAAAATCATTTTAAAATAGTCTTTGTATAATTTGATTGCCCTTAAACAAATAAAATGTTTACTTTCAACACATTTTGAGCAGAATTTGTACATATACCTGTAGACAAGTTATTTATTATTGTTACATATTTTCGAAATTAGAAACGAAAATGAGCTTTATCAGATCATCATCATGTCATCAGTCCTAATACTGGTTGGACACGTACCTCCACTCTTTCCTACCCTAAGCTAAATCAATCACGAATTTCTAATTTTATGTACTCTTGTCTCCGATTGTACCTTCCAAACATCCTTAAACATGGGCTTCACCAAATCCAGCTAGTCCGGCGGACCGGACTAACCCATTTAGGGAAGTCCTACCTTTATGTCATGAGTTAGCAATCAATGCAGTCACGAAGGTTAGGTTGGGTGCTATATCTATCAACGGTAGATGAAATTTGCCGGTTCAGGGACTAACGGTTAACAAATTGGGTTTCCAGACATAGAATGAATATGTATTTTTTTGGCGTCGATGAAATATGGAGCTTTATTTCCTACTTTGGGAGGTATTATGTGAATGGCTATTACGCTAGTCATAAGTTTGTNACTGGAAATGTATTTGTATTCAAAATAAAAAATTTCAGGAACAAGTAAAGACCTAGTACCTTGTGGATATTTACTTTACAATTAGTAAAATTAATTAATTCGAGGGAGACAGAAGGATTAAAAAAATATTAAAATTCACAAATCACTCCCGAAAACATACTCCCGGCTCGGCATTTACCACATTCCCGTTTATATGTGCGCGCTCGGGATGAAGTAATGTAACTTTGAAATCAACGTACGACGGACGCGGGAACAATCGACGCCAACCGCCGCGACGCCAGGCATCCGGATGCTGACTGGAGAAGCAACAGCCGCGACTAAACATGCAACGGCTTTTGCGCAAGCGCAAATAATAAAATGTAAAGCAGACTCCATCGGACGGACGCTCGGCGTCGTCAGGGAGTCGCATCTGGAGGCGCCCACCGGAAATGCTTTCTCCATTACTCCTATCCTACCTTGGCAATGGTTATCTGTTTAAATATTTCCTTCAGATCAGATCACTGCTAGCTCAGATGAAAAGAATTTGCAAATTATATACATAATATGCATGAAGATGATGTTTAAACAAAACATATACATAATAATGTGGTAATGAAAATTGATGTGGCTATCTGCTCTGATGATAGGCGTTTTAGAATTAGCTGACAATTAAGACATCCAACAGTAACGTGTGGAAATCTTAATTAATTAATGGTGGAAGTTATCTATGGTGGAAGGCTTTACTGTTCGTTTAAAGAAATTGGAGATATGCCCCTTCCCTTTATCAGGATGCGCCGTAGCATAATTCCAAATTCAATCATATTTGTCTGCGGAGCTCATTTCTCCACCGATCATCGAGCGAGAACTAGACAAAAGTGTACAGTACCATTTGCAAAATTATTTAAACTGCCTCGTTAAAATTTAAGAATATGCTTTATTTAAAAGCATATTTAGCCAAAAATAATAACAAGTGAATTAANACATCAATTTGATCATTTAGTAAAGTATTTAATTTATTGTATTCGTTAATATAAAGACTTTCAGGTAGGTTTAATTTATGGCTTTTTGGTAATTCTTTTAAAATTTAAAAATCATCATTAAAAGTATGTTTTTCCTTTAATAAATGTTCTCCATATGTAAAATCGGCTTTCCCATTAGTATAGCTCCTCCTGTGTTCTGTAATCCTTTGATTGAAGGATCTCCCAGTTTGTCCCACATAGACTTGATTAAAGTCCACATTCCCATAAAGAAAATCCAGATTTTGATCCTTTATCAGTTTTATCTTTATTATGTTTTATAAATTTCGTTTAGCGTATTACTGGTTTTACAGGAATATCTTCACCTGAAGGACCATATCACCTCACGCGCCTACTGAGATTTTTGATCTTCCCATCGATAGCTACCAGAATCTAAAATTTCAAAGAATTTGAGAAAAGGCCATTTTCCGTAAGGATCTAGCGAGTCCTTTAATATGAAGTGTCGACTTTTTATTTCACTTAAAAGTTTTCATAAAGTATTAAAACAAGTGAAGTAAAAGTCCATTACTTGTTTTACTTCTTTCGTATTGGATTGTGTTCCGGTTTTAAAGCATGTGCTTGTTTCGTCGGGTCATATAATAAGTGAATCCACCGAATCCAATTCGGAGAACGGAAATTCGCTTTTACTCGACGGACGTTTCCACTCTTCTGGTCGCGATCATCTTTCGTCGAAGACGACCATCAGTTTTACCGCGTCGTTTTTATTACTTTTCTTGTTACAACGATTTAGTCGACGTACGTAGGGGGGAAAACGATCTCCAATTTCCTTTTTGCCGCTTGTTAAACGAATCATCCCGCAAGGAAAACTAAAACCGAATTTAAACTCGACATCCTGTAACTACCCGGTTAGGTGTGTAATTTCAAATCGAAATCATTAAATACGTATTACAAGTAAAACAACTTCGTGGCTTAAAGTACGAACTTGGGGAAAATGATAATGGTCCATCGCCGGTAAAATCTCACAAGGGGAGTGAGGAGCCCGAATTTTTGAAAAAACACCTCAACCTACTTGGGTATTCATCATTCTAAACATTTAAATCCATGAAATCCTATGACATTGTTAGTTATTTAGTAGTGGATTAATATGCAATATTAATTTGAAATCATTTTTTCGATTTTTTTATTTACCCATTACAAACTACCTCAAATTAATGAGGGAAAAATTGTTGCTGTTGTTACTTGGGGAAAATGATAATGGTCCATCGCCGGTAAAATCTCACAAGGGGAGTGAGGAGCCCGAATTTTTGAAAAAACACCTCAACCTACTTGGGTATTCATCATTCTAAACATTTAAATCCATGAAATCCTATGACATTGTTAGTTATTTAGTAGTGGATTAATATGCAATATTAATTTGAAATCATTTTTTCGATTTTTTTATTTACCCATTACAAACTACCTCAAATTAATGAGGGAAAAATTGTTGCTGTTGTTACACCCCCGCCGGGAATCGAACCCGGGGCCTTTGGCTTTACGCACCAATGTTCTGACCACTAAACTACGAGAGGTGACAACAGCAACAACGACCAACCACCTACAAAGTTAACGATCCGTCGTACTAATGTAACTATATATACTGAATATACTATGATTAAACATACATACAATTTAGACAACTTTTAGAAGTGAGTTAGTTTAATATGAAATATTATTCTGAAAATTAATTTTTGAATTTTATACCCACTACACACTACCTCAAATTAATGAGGGAAAAATTGTTGCTGTTGTGACACCCTCGCCGGGAATTGAACCCGGGACCTTTGGCTTTACGCACCAATGTTCTGACCACTAAACTACGAGAGGTGACAACAACAACCACGACCAACCGACCTACAAGGTTAACGATCCGTCGAACTAATGTAACTATATACTGAATATACTATGATTAAACATACATATAATTTAGATATCTTTTAGAAGTGAGTTAGTTTAATATGAAATATTATTCTGAAAATTCATTTCTGAATTTTTTACCCACTACACGCTA